TCCCCCCCCCCCCCCGAACGAAAATATGAAAATCCGTCTCTGATTTCAAGCACGGTCGCATATGCTAGCATACGGCTAGGCCCGGCGAGACAGAAACATTTGTTTAAGCATGCTTAAAAATTTTGTGCGCATTCGGACGTATGGTTTATACTATAAGCGTACTATAGGCACACGCTGAATACGCGATAGAGGTGCGCCAGATGTACGGTGCTCATACGCTGGCATTTCAAGGGATTTTTGCAATTCTGTGCGTATGAAAATTATTTCATTAATTTTCATACGCTTCTCATACGTTTCTCTCATACGCAATAGTGTGACAGGTCCTTGAGATTCTCGCGCATTTCCACTCTTGGGGCAATGTAGCAGTCATGGAACCCATTGTGAAAATGCACATCAATGAAGGTACAATTGAATCTCCTGCGGTTCTAAGGCGTCTAGCGAGAACATTATCGGGACCGTTCGCTTTTCCATTTTTCAAATGATTTATACCTCTTTGAATCAACTGTTCACTGAGATTTATCTCCGAAATCGTACAAAAAAACATTTTTGTATGAAAATCATTTTAAACTTAAATTTGAGGTTTATTTACATTATGCTTGTGCATTCAAACTGAGCAGCACACCTGAAATCTTGAGACAAAATATTTTTCTGTCACTAATTTTTTTACTGCTAACATTCATATAGATTCCTTGCCAAGGTCACACGTTCCTGCTCCGGTGCGCTACTTTGTTGGCCGTGAAAACGAAGTTCAGCAAATAACGTCCTTGTTGACATGCCGATCCACTCGGCTTGTGAACATCTGGGGATCCCCAGGATTTGGTAAAACTTCCACGGCTATTGCTGTTGCACGTCACCTGCACTCTCTTGGGCACCCTGTGTATTTCTTTAAATTTCAAGGAATAAGCTCAATCGATAAATTTTACTCAAAAATTCTAAGCATTTTTAACTTAACAAATGATAATATTGCACCCGTGGATAAATTAGTCAGTGTATTTAGAGGGGTCCCTTGCCACATTTTTCTTGTTTTTGATAATCTTGACGATCTTTTGGCATGCAAATCGGATGATACTGCCGACGTGGTCGTTCAGGTAATTCGAGAATTTCTGGATTCCCATGAGGACATAAACATACTTCTTACAACGAGAGAATTTCTTGAGTCTCTCAGTTCGCAAATTTCCGAGTTTGGGAGTTTAAGGATTCGTCCACTGGATCAGGCCTCGTCCAATCGCTTTGTTCGAAACTTTATCCCTGTTATGACTGAAGAGTTAATCACGAAAGTTACAAAAATTTCTGGAAATATTCCTTTAGCCATGAAACTCTTGGCCACTTTGATTCAAAATTGTTCCGAAAAAGATGCCAAAAAGATTCTTGATGACATACCTGTTTCAAAAGTACTCGGAATGATAGAAAACCCTTACGAAGAAAAGTTAAGAAAATTATTCGTTTCTTCGTTTGATCACCTTTTACAGAGTGAACAGGAGGCATTTGTTTCTCTAACTGTTTTTAGAGGAGATGATATTGATGTGGAAGCCGCCCTTGCAGTGGTTGGCGGGGACGAATTTAAGGCTAGGCGCAGTCTATCAACCCTTGTTAATAAGTCTTTGATTGATCAGGATTCTGGAGCCAAACTGGTTTCAGTTCATCCTCTTTTGTACTCCTTTGCAAAGGAAAGATCTAACCAGGATGACCTTAAAAATGCCACAGTTTCTTCTTATATTCGATATTTAAGATATTACTTGCGACTTTTTGAGAAATTGAATGAACTGGTACTTGCAGGCAAACCACTTGATCGTTTTCGAGCATACAAAGCTTATGACAATATTGAATATATTTTGTTTGAAAAGTTAATATTTTCTCTAACTTATGAAGATGTTTTAGAAATATTGACTAAATCTGAACTGTTTCTGTATTCACTTTACGCTGGCCCATCTCAAAATTACAGAGTGAATTACCTGTATGATTTAGGCATACGCTTTGCAGAGAAACGAAACAAGTCTCTTCACTGTAAACTTATTACAAGCAAATGCTTTGGCAGTACTACAATGTTGTGTTTGTCGCCTGAAATTTCGAAAGTATCTGAGTCTATTCGGAAGGAAGTTGCCTTGATGACTGACGGTACTGCCGCAAAGTTTGCCTGTTATGAGGGTTTATACGAGATTTCAAGCGGTAGGACGAAGAGCGGAGTTCTACGCGTTGAAAAAGGTCTTTTCGGGTTGAAAAGTTGCACCGACCAACAAACTTTGAAATGCTTATGCTTACAACTCTTAAGTTTGTATTACAAGTTTGCAAAAGACCTTGAAAAATGCGAACAGTTCAGTAAAATGGCTTTTGAAGTAGCCAAACAGATTGGCAATTCCAGGCTATTCTTAATCGATTATTGTGAACCTGCGGATAAGAACGGCGTTGACAAATCGTTGGGTGACAACAAATCTTTTCCTCAACCATCAATTTTACTCTTCCTCGCATTCAGCCTCTGGGTGAATAATTTTGTAACAGACGAGAACAAGTATAATCTTTCAAGCTTTATTTGTAAGTTGCAACAAGAAACAGAAGAAGAGTTGTTTGATTCAAGTTATCTAATGCGGATTCTCCGTTCTGGTGATATTGGTTTGGCGTATCTCAGTACCAAGCATAAAGCGATGCTAGATGAAGTCATCCAAACGATCAAAAACAAACTTAGAATTAAAGATATCACTAAAGGTGGCATGATCGATGTTGATGTAAAGTCAAACAAGACTGCGAGGGCGATGTTGCATAGATTGGGAGAATGTTGTTTTTTAAGAGGTACTGGTCGCTCAAATGAACCAGATCTAAATCGTCAGACACTGCATGGCGCACTTGAGATTTCACGCAAACTTTACGGAGACCAATGCGAAAACGCCGCCCAATGTTTCTACTATATAGGAGTCCTCGAAAATATTCATGAGAATTACGATTCTGCTCTTGTGGCACATGAACAAGCACTTAAGATAAGACTGTCCTTGAGCAGTCAGCCTAACAGGGAAACAAGTTATAGTCGCTCCCAGATCGGGAAAACACAACGTAATTTAGGAAACCTTAAAGATGCGATTGTTTCTTATCAACTTGCACTCGACATTTGGTTGGAAATAGAAGGCAATGTGAATTACGAGGTTGCTAAAACCCATTTTAAGATAGGAAATACACAACGCGGACTTGGCGATTTTATTGCGTCTCTTGAGTCTCATCAACGTGCACTTGATGTTATGTTAAGAACACAGGGCGAAGTTAATAAACTGGTTTTTAAAATTTACTTAGGGATGGCAGTCACTCAGAAAATTATTCAGGATTACGTATCGTCTCTTAAGTTACACAAGCAAGCTTTTGATATCAGAAAAAAGATGGATGAGGAAGATGGAGAATGGGTTGCAGAAATGTACGGGTATATAGGACATACGCAAAGCCTTCTTGAAGACTACAGCTCCTCTCTTGATTCCTATCAACGTGCCCTTGATATTAGGTTAAAAATACATGGCAACGAAAGCCAGTGGGTTGCTCAAAGCTACCACAGTATAGGAGAGACGCAAATGAAGCTTGGAAACATTCCCTCGTCCTTCGAGTCATATCAACGTGCACTTGATATTATGCTGAAACTGGACGGTGGAAAAAACCCTTTTACATTTTCTGTGTACTTTGGGATAGGAATTGCACATATGAAGATTGACAATTACGCAGCTAGTATTGAATCGTTTCAACATGCAATGAAATTTACCGAAGACACGGAGTCAGACGAACGGGCAGGCCGGTGTCTCTTTCATACCGGAATCGCTCAGAATTACACGGGTGACTACAACTTGTCTACTAAATCATTTCAACGCGCGTTGAAAATTTGCGACGAGCTGGGTGACCATCCCTCAATTTCTGCTTGCATTTACAGCTGGATAGGTCGTAATTATTACTCTATGCAAAAGTACACAAAAGCGATTCAGTCATGTCAACGGTCGGTCGATATAAGCTTGGTCTCGCCCCAAAACAGAGAAGTGACGGCTGAGAGTTACTTTTGGATGGCAAAGGCGCAATTTGAAAACGGGATGCATAATGATGTTGCCATAAAATCACTAAACAACGCAATTCAATTGTTCAAATTACTAGGGAAACAACATCGGCTTATGATTCACAGCTACTATTTGATGGGAATCATTCAAATCAGAACAAGAGATCATGCTTCGGCTATTCATTCCTTTGAAATAATGCTGAAGATATCAGAGGCCTCTGGCAAAAAAGATATGACAACGGCGGACTGTCACTTTCGATTAGCATGTGCTCAATACTACCGTGAGGCTTATAAAGAATCTCTTACTTCGATGTACGCAGCTCTTAAAATATCACTTGATATAAATGGTAAAATGAATGCTACTACCGCTGAATATTTTTGCTTCATTGGAAAGATATGTAAAATGTTGGGCAACAGACTGGTGGCATTGTCTAACTTCAAAACGTCACTTCGTATTTGCATGGATATATTTGGTGAAAATCATCCGGATACCATGGAGAGTCTTAGTGAAGTACAAGACGCTTCGACGAGTTAAATAGTTAAAATGCTTGGCAAAGGGTTGTATAAAATTCCTTGTTTGAATGTGTCCTTTAAGCGTAGTAGTCACTTGTATATATTGTAGTAAACAATCCAAATTTAATTTGGTAATTTAATAGATTCACTATTCAATTTACAAGTGTATTTGTAGTTAGCTCTTGAAATAATTTAACGAAAGGTTTTTACTGTTCCTCTTTTGTTTTCAAAGATTGCCACAAAAGAAAACGCTTATGCACTGTTTGCTTTCAGATTGGTTTAAAATGTTCTGCGTAACTCACATATTCTGAATCCTCCGTGTCATTTTCGTTGGTTTTTGGTGTCTTAGTTTCAGCTCCAATTTTAGTTTTATCCTATTTTATTTTTATTCGTATTATGGAAATCCGTGTACCGCTCAGCTAGATTAATGCATGGCTCGTATTGTCCACGTATTGACCTTTACGCACCACGCGGGAGGCGCGCGTGTTTTGATACTATTCGTCATTTCGTGGGCGTAATAATGTTTCAAAATGTGTTCTTTCAAAATGTCTTTTTGGCCCAATGTCTTTTTGGCCCAATAAATCAATTTTAAATTTTGCGCATATTATGATTATGATATTATGATTAGAGTTATGCGGATTACTGTCAAATGCTCTTGTCAAACAGCAGATAATAGCAAGATGTAGCGTTTGTAAATTCACATGCGTCTCACTAATAAATACACGAAATATTGTTGTGCAAAGCTGACTCAAAATTTAAATAACTATATATATCAACGAATGTTTGAAACAGGAAAATATTTGGT